CTGCCTATGACCAAAGTGTGTTGTATGCAGAAGTTTTTAGGGTATGTTTAAACATTTAATGATGTTAATATTTTGATATTCAAAAGAAGTATGGAAGAATACTTTTAATTAACGTTACCTATATAGGAGTAAATGTGGGATCGCATTTAAGAGAATTACATGGCTACATTCTCTAAAGCTCCTATGAAATCAGGATTTGTTCAGGACCAAAATGAACACAACCGCATGAACTTAAGTGTGTATAGATTTAATGCATGTGTGGCATATTGTCTCGGTTTACTACAAAACAATGAATAGTTCAAGGTTGTGAATTCCACTGATTCATTAAGTAGATATGATACGTCTACACTAGGGAAAGTTCAAGTCCAAAAGACACTTATCCTGATTTGTATTTTATCTAATTTCCTCTCCATTTTTTAGTCAGCATATATTCTTTAAAAACAAAAAAACAAATTTGCGTTTCAAATGTGGGGTATTGTTGGAAGTTTGAAAGCAAAAGTCCCACATTGGAGAAAACAAAAGTTTTATATATATATTTTATATGAGAGAAAACAAAAGGTTCTACATGCTTTATAAGCATGAAACCTTAACATCAATTAAATAAGATTGGTGGGCTGATGGGCTTGGTAGTGAAGGCTATACATGGTTGGCTTGCTTGATTAATAATAATATTTAAATAATCTAGACTTGGGCCTTGGGCCTGGGGTCTCTGAAAAATAAAAGAAATACACCCAGCCCGAAAATAAAATATTATTTTATTTTACTTTTTGGATTTCTTTTAGCAGAAGTTAAATTCAAACCAAAAGTCTTATCTTTCCGTTTGAATTTGAACAGGTATAACGAATACTAACTGCTATTTTGAAGGGGTGCAATTGTGTTATAAAACCACAAGTCCTAATCCATAATACAATCATCATTTTTTTTGGAACTATTTCATACTGCTTAAAAATTACTTACCGTATTGGAGAGAGAAGCACACCAACGTTCGCCATAATTCAAGGATCCAATGCTGTACCCTTGGGTTATAGATAGTTGAATCCTAGGAGATAGACGCATGTTGAACTTCAAGTACTAAGAAGGCGAAATTCTGTGTTTAGGACATTGCGAATACGCAAGCCTCTATCTTCAATAAAAGTCAGTATTTTGTACTTAGTTTTTACTTACACATTTATACAATTTTCGTATTTTGTTATTGTCTACATTTTAGAATTGTGTATATAGTGATCCTATAATATAAGATATTTACTGATGTCTCCTAACACCAACGTCAGGATCGTCGGAATGGTGAAGGCAAGAATATTGTGGTTTTTGCCATGGTGACGTTTAGATGTCGTTGAAGCTTCAAGCAATGTTGGTGGTCTTTCTGCAAAGTTGACGAAGAAGAAGTACTGATTGTTGATGAAGCGCTGCATGATGACGACATTAGAACAGTGAGGATTGATGACATTCATCCCAATGTAAATAGGATAAGTTGCCATGTACTAGCTATTTTGGTGTTTCCTCAGGCAGAATATATATATGTAATGTGGAGAAGGAAGAGCTTTGGTTAGTTTAGCATTAGAGCTCTTCAGCCAAGGAGATGAGCAAGAACAGTTTATAGGGTTTTAGAGAATGGGAGACACGGAAACAGCGCCCGCAGCGTTCCACTCATTGATATTAGGTAAAAAAGTTAAAAATTAAGGATTTACCTTCTGGGTCTTGCAGTCAATGCCTTCAAATTCAACATATAAGTTAGATATAAGATTGGGTTAGAAAATTGAAAACAAGGAGGCCCATTTTCTTTTGTCCAAAAGCCTCTTTCAAAATAAACTGTGGATTTTCTTGTAGAAGTTGTAGAAGTGACCTGAATTTTTTTTTTTTGGAGCCCTTAAATATTTGGGGGCTATGCCCTGGGCCTGTTTGTGATATATTAAGCTCAAAAGATCTGACCTAATTTCTTCCATTAAACGCACTAAACGACACTGTTACCACGTCAATTTTTTTTTCCTTATGCTATGCCTCCTCTGGTCCCTTTGAATGAGTTCAAGTTTAATTCGGCCTGGATGTGGTTCGGTCCGGTCAGTTTTCACCTCACATTAGAACTATTCAACCGGTGCTGCTCGATGCGGTTTTTAGAAAAAATGGGTGGACAACCACACCAACTAGACTGCCAATATCCGATGCGATTTTCTGGTTTCTGATTTTGCGCCGGCTTCTTCTTTTTTCCTTTTATTTTTCCCAGGTATTAGCTCCAAATTTCAAAAGGCTTATTTACTATAGTACCTCTCTGAAACTATGATTAGTGGCACCTGTGTCAATTATCCATGTAGTGGGTCGTGTACCTGATTCGGAGTCGGAGAGTAGGGTGGAAGATGGAGAACATCAACCCTTTTGCAGGGGCAGCCTTCAAGTACCTCATAATTCGTGTTACTGCATTCATGTGTGCCTCACTTGGTTGGTGCATAAACTGACTTACCATACTCACAGCATAAGCTATGTCGAGGCGTGTGTGTGATAGATAAATGAGTCGCCCAACCAATCTTTGATACCTTTCTTTGTCAGTGGGTACTTGATCTGGATACATCCCTAACTTGTGGTTCTGCTCAATAGGTGTGTCAGCTGGCCTACAATCAAGCATTCCAGTTTCTGTCAACAAATCTAACACATATTTTCATTGGGATAGAAATATGCCATGTTTTGATCTAGCAACTTCTATGCCAAGAAAATATTGTAACTCACCTAATTCCTTCATCTCAAATTTACTAGCAAGGAGCTTCTGCAGATTCTTCATTTCTCCATAGTCATTACCGGTAACCACCATATCATCAACATAGATGATAAGGGCCGTAAGTTTATCACCACGACGCTTTAAGAATAAAGTGTGATCCGAGTTGCTCTGAGTGTACCCAAAGCGCTTCATGGAATCGGTGAATTTTCCAAACCAGGCTCGTGGTGACTGCTTTAGCCATATAATGATTTTCTCAGCTTGCAAACGGTGTTGGGACCGAATGTCATAGAGGTTCCTGGTGGTGGTTCCATATACACTTCTTCTTGCAAGTCTCCATGAAGAAATGCATTCTTTACATCATACTGCAGAAGTGGCCAATCAAGATTTGCAGCTAATGACATGAGAACACGAACTCATACTGCAGTAGTGGCCAATCAAGGTTTTCAGCCAATGACATAAGAACACGTACAGTGTTGATCTTGGCAACAGATGCAAATGTCTCATGGTAATCAATTCCATATGTTTGTGTATACCCTTTGGCCACTAATCGAGCTTTGTATCGGTCTATGGATCCATCAGCTTTGTATTTAATGGTGTATATCCACCGACATCCAACTGGTTTCTTCCCTTGTGGTAACTGAACAATTTCCCATGTAGAATTCTTTTCTAGAGCTTCCATTTCCATTGTCATTGCTTCAGCCCATCTAGAATCTGTTATAGCATCCTGCCACTTATTTGGAACACATACAGTAGATAATTGATTGACAAATGATGCATATGACTTTGACAATCTATGAGTTGAAACATGGTTATTAATGGGATATTTAGATTTGGCAGTAAGGTCAGGACAATATTGAAGTTTGGGTTTTCCTCTAGTGGTCCTAGGTGGGAGAGTGTATGGTATAACATTAGGTGGTTCGGGAATTACCTCGAGTGTTTCTTCCTCATGAGACGATTGGTCCGATGGTTGAGAAGGAGGGGTTGTATTTTGTAGTTGATCACAGCAAACATTTGGATTGTCTCCTCCGGGATTGTCACCAAATAAGAACGACAACTTTTCAATGTCTTCATCGCTGTCCAAATAGCTATCTTCAAGTTCACAGGGGATCGGCGACCGGTCACATGGTTCTGAGCGACCGGTCGCTTTCGGGCAGATTGGCATTTCATCACTGGAGTCAAGCGACCGGTCGCTGAGGTCCATTCGACCAGTCGTTTTTGAATCTGTGGAAAAGCGACCGGTCGTTTCTGGGATGCGACCGGTCGTATTTGGACAGATTCGATCTTCAGAATTGCTGGAGTCACGCGACCGGTCGCTGAGGTCCGTGCGACCGGTCGTTTTTGAATCTGTGGAAAAGTGACCGGTCGTTTCTGGGCTGCGACCGGTCGTATTTTGACTGTCTTGAATTTCTTGAGTTTCTTCTTGAACCTTTTCTTGAATTTTTTCTTCCTTCTCTTCATTCCTCCTCTCCCCCTGAAGAGAAGGGGGTGTAGAAGCTTCAAAGTATGATAAATCTTCATGGAATGTGGCATCCATGGTAACAAAGAGCTTACGAGTAGGAGGATGGTAACATTTGTATCCTTTTTGAGTTGATCCATACCCAACGAACACACATCGAATGGCACAAGGGTCCAGCTTACTTCTTTGATGAGATGGAACATGAGCATATACAACACCACCAAATATGCGAGGAGGCAGCTTGAGGACTGTAGGAAGAGAGACATGACGAGCCAAGGTGTTCAGTGGAGTTTCAAACTTCAAAACACTACTAGGCACTCGATTAATGACATAGACTGCAGAAAGGAGGGCATGTCCCCATAAGTAGTGAGGGACCGATTTATCCAGCATGTAAGCACGAGTAACCTCAAGTAATTGTCGATTCTTTCGCTCTGCGACACCATTTTGTTGCGGAGTGAAAGATGTGGAGGTTTGATGAATGATGCCTTGGTCTCGAAAGAAATGTGCCAAGACATTGTTCACATATTCCCCACCATTATCAGACCGGAATACTTTGATGGAAGCTTGGAACTGTGTGGTAATCATAGCATGAAATTCACGGATTGCAGCGGAAACGTCACTTTTATGAGCTAGTAAGTATACCCAAGTCATGCGAGTGCAATCATCAATAAATGTAACAAAACATCTTTTGCCATTGGAAGAAACTTTAGCAAGACCCCAAACATCAGAGTGAACCAAATCAAAAGGGAATTCTGTTTTATTATCACTTAAGGGAAAAACAGTTCGATGGCTTTTGGCCAATACACAGGTTTCACACTGAAACTGGTGATTATCTAAGCCACGAAACAAAGACGGAAACAAACGTTGAAGATAGCCAAAGGATGGATGTCCTAGACGACGATGCCAAAGCCAAATCTGATGTTGATTGCGAGCTTGTGAGCTGGAACCTTGAGTATGAGCTGCCCTTGGTGGTGAAGAGACCATCAAGGAATACAACCCCCCTCTTCGTTTACCATGCCCAATCGTCGCGTGAGTCGTGAGGTCCTGAAAAAGACAATGGGAAGGATAGAATGTGGCATAACAATTATGTGAGTCAAGTAATTTTCCAACAGACAGCAAATTGCAATTGATGGAGGGAACAAGTAGTGTATGAGATAAAGATAAGGAAGGGGAAAGTGATATAGTTCCTTCACCAGCAACATTAGAAGGAACTCCATTGGCACTAGTGATGTAAGGATGACGAGACTTAGAAGATAATGTGGAAAACATAGTAGAGTCAAAAGTCATATGATCAGTGGCACCTGTGTCAATTATCCATGTAGTGGGTCGTGTACCTGATTCGGAGTCGGAGAGTAGGGTGGAAGATGGAGAAGCGATCTTGGTGGAGTTGATTGAGTCGTTGGTGTCACCCATGAGGTAAATATATAAAGAGATGTAGAGGAAGAAATAGCTTAAAACTTCAGCAAACAAGAGCACAAATAAGGCTTGTGATCAAGATCAATTTTGAGGCAAGGCAAAGTATGAGATAGGAACAATATAACAGCAAATTATGGGCAAGGATAGGTAGAGATTAGGCAGGAACAAGGTTATACAGAGGCAACCAAAATCGATTGCTCTGATACCATGCCAAAGATAGTGTAATTGTTGAAGTAGGGAATGTGAAATAAGATAGGTTTGCAGAGAATACAATTCAGAATTTTCTCATTACACATATTGGATATATATCTACAAGTATATGCATAGCTAGATAGCCATCCGTTGGTTACAACCCCAATTCATTTACAATAAATTACAATCTCCAAAGCATGAATTATGTCTCCATGTTTCCAGCTTGTTGTGTTCCCCTTGTGTTCCCCTAAAACATGGAAATGAGTTTCTAGGTGGTAGACAAGCTTTTCCATGTTTCCAGCTTTGTCTATTGTCAACAGATGGATTACTTGCACTTGAAGGAACATGAATATGATGTTCTTGAAGATGACTTTGATGGACTTGCATGCCCGCCTCTCAACCTTGAAGCTCTCACCATGATTGAAACCATGAGTTTCGATATCTCCCACTTCTTCGACAACATCGAGGTTGATGAACAAGCCATGGCAACTCTCAAGAAGAAGAAGAAGCCGGAAGATCAGCCGCAGCCGAAACCAATATTCTTTGGTAAAGGGAAGGACATGGAGACAGTCCTCAAGCTAAGTAGTCGTCCACCTTCTGATCATCATCATCGACAAAACCCTAATCAGGATCGCACCAAGCATGTCCATCAGCAAGATTGGAATGATGAAGAAAAGATGGAGTGTAGTAACCGAAAGCTTCATCGAGCTTATCAAGAAGATCAAAACAAGAGAAGGAAACTTCCAAGTTCTTGTCAAGAACTTGCCTAAGCCTAAGCCGCAGCCGAAACCATTCTTTGGTAAAGGGAAGGACTTGGAAATAGTCCTCAAGCTAAGTTCTCCTCTACCTTCTGATCATCATCAACACAACCGTAATAAGTAGACCACCAAACGTGATCATCATCAGCCAGATTGGAATGACGAAGAGAAGATGGAGTCTCTTATTGGTTTTGGCTTCTCTGTTAAATTTTCCCAACTGTTACCTTAGTCTCTCTTGGTTTCTTTTTTTCTCTGTTTGCATATAACTTTATTGGGGTTATTCCCTTTTCATCATTACTCCAAAACTAAAAGATTTCAGCTGGATAATGGAAAAATCCTCATGCGTGTTAGTCATAAAGGTTTTGCATATATTGTTATCAATTGGTCTATTCACAATTTCATGTTCCACAAAACGATTCGTCATTCATTGGAAAAGTAGAAGCGAGGTGAAAGGATGAAGTGCAACTATTTTGTCTTTCTTGTTTTCTTTTTTGCAAATTGAAATTGATAAATATTTTGATGGTCATGAGATGAGTTACCCGAACATGCATTCTAAATTTCTAACAGGTCGGGAAACCGACCCAACTCAACTCATGTCCACCCTACTATAATTGGAACTGTCACTCGTTGTTGAGATTATGGACGGCAATACCGCTAGAGAACAAACAAAACCCAATTCTTTTGAAATTACACATAAACATAGAAGCAGTAATAGGTGCCAAAAAAAAAAAACAACAAAGTATTATTAAGTACAACGTTATTTCTAAATTGGAGTTTACCCACAAAACTGAACAATATATAGTCATCCTAAATTTTCATTCTTTTTCACATGTTATTTCATGAAATAAAAGATATAGAAACATAATTGTATGTGACTGGTGATATTGAAATCATATGATGGGTGGGACCTATAATTGATTATCTTTGGGACAAATCCGCTGAGCTTAGGGGCAAAAGTGGACTTGTCCTCCTGACATGGTTTTGTCCCTGGCATACCGGAGAAAAGAATTTTCCGACAGCCGGCACCAGTTTTGAGGCTGACCCCAGCACCACTAGCGAAAACAAGAAGATCAAAACTAGGTAGAGCACAGGCCGCCAGGAAGAGTGTGGAAAAAGCAGAAGCCACAAGAGTGAAGCAACTGAGAGTGAGCCAAACAGCACCATGATGATGTGGCACCATTTATACATGTATGCATGACAATGATGTTTATCGCTAGCCGTACTAGCACTAACAATAGGCCTCATAACTAGCAGTAGTCGCCCGAGTAAGCTGAAGGCCAAGCAGTATGCGAGGATGCTAGACAGAACAACAACCATAAGGAAACGGTGCGTTTCGAACAGATCTTCTTGTGCATATCGCATCTGGACCAACGTCAGGATCGTCGAAATGGTGAACGCAAAGACCGTTTTTTTGCCATGACGGCGGTTAGATGTTTGTTGTTCTTGTGCTGCAAAGTTGATGAACAACTGCTGGTGGTTGATATAACATATGACAACACTAGAACTACTACGAGGACTAATATTCACCTCCACATTAAAATGATTAATTCCAGGCATCCTAGTCCTATCTATGGGCTATATTTTGGTTTTCAATTATCATTTTGTATATATATAAAGGCAGAACAACGGGAAAAACATGTCCAACAAAGAAAATGACGACGTATGATAAATAAAGGAGACTGGGAATATGAGTCAAAAAAAGTGATAACGTAAGCTGTATATAGGAATGTGAGTCACAAATGAAGGAGACTATGGAGGGGAGGAATGGTCGGGATCTCCGTAGAGTTATGAATCAAACCGGGTCAGTAATTGAATTGATTTGGTTTAGTTATATATGCTTTTAGTTTGAGGGCTAAATCGAATCAAATTGGACCATGACCACCCGTTCATACGATCACATTCTTGGAAGAATAAAAAAAAGGTTATATACAATGTATATATGTATATACAACAATGTATATCCAAAGCTTTCCGACTCTACTGTTTGGTCCCTATCATTACTGGTAAAACAACACGGTGAGGGTGATGAGGATGGATGATAGAGGAAAATTGAACATGGGCTTTGGCGTGATCGACAAGCAATTGAACCATCAATGCCTATTTGCTTCAAGCAAAGCCCAGTAATCTGGTGCTTCATTAATTTTGCGTAGCAAATGAATGGTTTTATGAAAATCCTTATGCAAAATGACTCATTTATCCAAAAACCAGAAAACCAATTTCCTTTACTGAGAACCATTATTAGGTGGGTTGAATGGTACTTTTCCATACAAAAAAGGGTCGGTTTCTTATTCTAAAATAGTCATTTTATTGGCTTTGATTTGAACATTTTAATCCATTGGAATAGAATAAAACTATTTGTACTGAGCATCTGTTATCATCTTGAGCTAGTATAAGTGTGTCTAATACATATCAGTCTCATTCTAATAGAGTTAGGAAAAAAAATGAATGAATAGACTAATATGGTACATATATTATATAATTAAAAAAAGTCAAAGCTTCACCATCTTACAAAGTTTAGGGTCACTTTTTAATTGTTATATTATATTATATTAAATATTATTAATTAAAAACAAATATATCACTTATCAGACCAGGTTCGGGAATGGAAACAACAATATCATTCCCAACCTGTCTTTAATCGGATATTTTGAAAAATCTTAGATCCTGGTACTCGCCTCCACTTTCCCCCAAAATGTACCCCATTAGATGCCAGAGATGGGAAATTTTGCCATTCCTAGTGCAAATTGACCTATTATTCTTTTAGATAAGTTTTTCTCGCTCTCACGGAGTTAAAGTGAGTTAGCGAAATTGGAATGTAACACTCTCGAAAGCATATTCACTCACTTTGTAAACTTCACAAGCAACAAATAAAATAAAATATTTTTCAAAATGAGAAAAAAATTAAAAATATGTTGTTTAAGCGTTGAAGGAGAAAACGGAGCCCAAGATCCCCTTCCCATTAATGTAACTGGAAGGAGCAACATGTGCGAAAAGACAACGAAATAACAATAAGTAGAACAAACACCTTATAGTCATCAATTTGTTCATCACCGAATATAACACTTGTTAAAAAAATATAACCCACGTTTTTTCTTGAAACTCTGGACTCATCATGCAAACCTCACTATTTTTTTTGTTTGTTAGGATACTGAATAAATTTGTAGCACCACTGAATAGTTCATTAAGTAGTGGGGCTGATTGTTGATAAAGTCGGTGACATTACAACTGTGATGATTAGGATTGATCGTCATACCAAACCTAAAATAATGAATTGCGTTGCTGCTGAAACTTGAGATATCGCTAGTGAGAAATTAAGTTTGGTAGTCGGCTTTTTATTAGCCAAATATGTTGAAGAATATGAGTCCCACATTGGAAATTTGACTAAATAAAATACAAAATATAATGAATGATTCTATTATTAATAATACCGAGACTTTTTGTGATAAAATTCCACATCTATTGAACTTTGTAGATGATTAAATTAAAAATAATATCGATATTACTAGTGATGTACCGCTAACACGTCCCCCAGAAATATTTAACAAAAGGAAAATGCTAGGGAGACCAACTTGGGATACCAACTCTCTAATAGAGTGTGGGACTCATTGTATTGGTGGGCTCCACCTCTATTAGAGAGTTGGTACCCAAGTTGGTCTCCCAAGTTGGTCTCCCTAGCATGACCCTTAACAAAATGTGATTCACAAGTGCCGCCAACAGCCAAGGAATATCTTTAGACCGACATATAAGTTCCAACAAGGAAACCAAAATAAAAAGCGACATGTAGTAAGTTTGACAAAAAGAGAAAAATAGAGGCAGCTGAAGCAGACAGGGGTTGGGGGGTGACCCTCAAGCCATGTAGGGACCATAGTTGTAGAGTGTAGATCAAGAGCGTTGGGCAGTAATTACTTATGCATTGGGCCCACTCGCTCCCAAAAACGAATGGTGCAGATCAGGGTATATGAGTTATTGGAGAGGGTGAAAGCAGTGAATCAGTCCCTGAAGCTCTT